TCGGCTAAATACACCTCTGGCCTCGATAATATATAACAAGTACGACAATACGTTGGATTATTAGCCTTTCACCAGACCGACCCCATGTTTGCTAAAAAGTGATTATTTCATAAACTATGTGATCTATTTTTGTGAAATTTTGCATGCATCTCGGCAGATGGTTACACTATGGGAAAACGGCATTGGGAACACGCTCGGTGCCTTCATTAGATTAATTAAGACTTGTTAAGTTGGACATTTTGCCTTTTTCCCAACCGACCCCATGCTCACTTAAAAGTCAATATTTCAGAAACTATTCCTCCGATTTTCATCAACTTTTGCTTGCACCTCAGTAGTAGTATACACAATAGGGGTACGGGATTAGGGACTTATCCAAGGACCTGGTCCCGTACCCCCATTGTGTATGCTACCACCGTGATTCTTACATCACAATGGATGCAAAACGGGGGATCCTCAACTTTCAATAGGTATTCATGAGTCCCTAATTATTAAGACAGATTATCTTAGATTAGTGAGGATTTACAGACACTACAGCGAGAGACTTTTGTTCTGTTATTCAATGCGAGAGTTTCATACACCGTCATTTATGTCCCTTGACTGGAAGTAAAGTTTCGCACAGGACACGACTAACAGTGCTGGGATCATGCTGTTCATCACAGGATTGTCTTTTCCAGACTCGATTACTTTCAGACCGCCACCATTTAGTTGGCGTATAAATGAATATAAGACAGAGGGTATGATTGTTGGCACAAGAAACATGTTAGTAAAATCACAATATGTTGAGTTGAAAGTTGGAAACATGGTCATTCAGCCTTCTCTACATGTCAAAAATCTTGGCGTCCTACTCCAACCTGACCTCTCCATGAAGAAACAGATTATGGATCTGTGCAGAAAATGTTACTTCTATCTCCGTAACATTGGACAGATCAGACATCTCCTGTCACAGGATGCTGCGGCTGCCATGGTGAGAACACTGATCCTCTCGCGACTTGACTATTGCAACAGCTTGTTGGTTGCAGCCTCACAAGAGTCCATCCAAAAGCTCCAACAAATCAAGAACACAGCTGCCCACATAGTTACTGTCAAACCAAAACGCTGCTACATCACTCCCATCCTGTTGTCTCTTCACTGGTTGCCTATTGAGGCTCTCATTGACTATAAGATCCTTACAGTTGCTTATCAGTCCATCCATGGTATTGCACAAGTGTATCTTCAAGAACTCCTCTCTCCTCACATGCCAACAAGAACTCGGCTTATCTGCTCTGTGTACCAAAGTGGAACCTCAAATCATTTGGCTCCAAGTCTTACCAGAACATGGCATCAGTCAAATGGAATTTCCTCCCTGATGAACTTAAGCTGTCTACAACCCATGAAAACTTTAAGTGCCATCTCAAAACCTTTCTTTACAAAAAGTTCTATGGACTTCAATAATGCCTTATTGATTGTTAGTGCTATGAGCGTACCTGGTGTGGATTTTGGCGCTTATAGGTTGAGTTGAGTTGGGCTTTACGTCACATCGGCATTATTCCAGCCATATAGTGACGAGAACAAGTTCAAATTAGTGAACATTGTAAGTACATACTCAGAATGAGTTTTATTTCAAAGACATATATTGATTACATTGTCATTTAAAAGCAGAGAAAGTCATAGCATCAAATTTAAAGGCAGACAATTTGTTAGTCACATTTCATAGTTACAATTTATGGTTGTTACATTTCGCAGTTACAATTTATGATACAGATCAACTTCCCTCAGGTAGTTCACTATCAGATGAGCGCTCACGCGGGAGAACAGATCTTTTAGGTTTGTTGCATCATAATGTGAGTCCCTTGCAGACGATAAGTCCACGCATTCAAGCAGAATATGCTTGATGGTGAAAACCTCATCGCAAGAGACACACATGGGAGGTCCATCCCCATCATTTTTCAGGAGATAGTCATGTGTAAAGCGACTGTGGCCAATACGACATCGTCGTAAAATTACCTCATCACGTCTTGACTGACAACCCAAGTAGGTTTAACCGATTGTTGTCCAGGATGATTTGATGACTTGAAGTCACATTTTGAAGTGCTTGAAGGCAGGATAATGAATCTGTAAAAACGATGAAGTTTTTGGATGGTTTTGCTGTTGAATGTAGGTCAAAGCTGAGAAGATAGCTTTGGCTTCAGCAGTTAAAATGGAACTGAGGAACTAGAGGAGACAGTCTTGGATCCAATGACTGTAGCGCTGGCAACTTGGCCATTGGATCCGTCTGTGAAAATGGATCTATGGGTGTTATACTTCGAACATAACTGGTTGTATTTACTGTTGGACACCAAAGGATTTGTTTCAGACTTTTTGAGTTTGGTGAGGGTAAGATCGAACTGTGGTTTCACCATTTGCCATGGTGGTGAGGACAGAAGCCGGTAAGGTGCAATGATGTTGAGATCAATTTTAGCTGCAGATATGTGTGGTTTGATCATGATTCCAAGTGGTGGAACCAGGCTTGGCAGTTTAGGAAACAAGTTTTCATAGAGCGGGTTGAAAACACAATTGTATGCTGGATTGGACTCGTCATTTAGTGATATACTGCGGTGAGAGTTTAATGCGGCGTTGTTCAAGGGAAGGTTCACTGGTCTCCGCATATAGACTGTCTACCGGAGAGGTCCTAAAAGCTCCCAGGCAGAGCCTCAGCCCTTGGTGGTGGATAGAGTCTATTTTTTCTAAATTGCTTTTGCAGGCTCCACCGTAGACACTGGAGCCACAATCTAGTTTACTGCGAACTAATGATCTGTACAAGTGAAGGAGGGTGGTCTGATCCTCTCCCCACTCTGTATTTGAGACTACTTTTAGCAAGTCTAGAGCCTTCAAGCACTTTGTTTTCAAATATTTTATGTGTGGTAAGAATGTCAGGTGGCGGTCGAATATGAGTCCAAGGAATTTGGCCTCTTCTACTACCTTGATGGGAGTACCATCTAAAGTTAGGTCTGGATCTTTGTGTGGTTTGTATTTACGACAAAAGTGAATACAATTTGTTTTGGAATTCTGAAAACTAAAAAAACAAGTTTGTTTGAAGGCACGTTTTGCCCTGGCATTTGTCATTTTATCAGCATTCAGGTTATTGTAGAAATTGCGACGCCACATTTGTTTGTTCGTTTGTTGTTTAAATACTATTCAGCAATGTCCAAGCTATGTGGCGACCGTCTGTAAATAATGAATGGTCGACCAGGCAATCCAGTGATCAACAGCATGAGCATCGATCTACGCAATTGGGATACGATGACATGTGTCAAGTCAGGGAGCCTGACCATCCGTTGCTGTTAGTCGCCTGTTACCTCAAGCACGGACTGAAGAACAATTCTAACACGGATTTTCACGGTTTAGAGTATTGATGTGAATAGGGCTCGCGTTTGGATCCGGTCGCTTCACAGTCTCCTTGTGCGGCTGAATCAATGAAAGCACATAGTCCTACAATCTAAATAACTCGCTCGTATTTACGTAGACGATTCTTACTCCCCGTAAGTTTCACTCAAGAGTGAATCTCTCCAAGGATCAGATCACTCCCATCTCAGGATCTAAACAACAAACACAACCACCATTAAATCACTTCCACACTTACCTTTCAGTAATTCTTACATCTTCACTCTGTTTTCAGAACAACAGGGAGAGAGAGAGTTTTGTGTAAAATGTTTTTTTTACAGAGAAGTGTTAATAATGCACAATGCATAGTCACTTATACTGATGAAATTGCCTGTGTGGTCCAAGGGAAGACAATGTTCAAAGTTCAGTCAAAAGTCAATAACTATGTCCCTGATTTCCATTTACTGATGAAATATTAACATGTAAATTCACAGTAACACTACTGAAAACTTGCAGGGCGGAACATTACTGGCAAATAGTGTCACACATGTCTGCAAGATGTACATGTATAAACTGGAAATTATGAATGCAATCTAACAAATTATTTCCCTTTGGAGTTAAAATCTAGTCATCCGCACATATTGACATGGTAAAGTGACCTCTGAAAATCAAATGATAGACTGCGTCTTTCCCCTAAAATCTCCAAATATATTTCCATGATCTTACTGCAATTACATGTGTGTCAGATGTCAAAATATACTCAATGCCTGGTGGTTTGTCAAAGCATCAAAATCCTTGCAAAATAGAGAGTTGACTTACATGTTACTTTACTTCAAACAACGTCCGGTAAACGCTAATCAGAGCATCAAAACAATCAGTCTAGTTAGCAGGGCTTTAAAAACCAGAGGTGCCCGCCTTTGTCCATTACCCTGTTGGAACGGAGCAATTACGACTAATTTACTGTTACTTCTGATTTAGAAAATAGTCCCACTCTCGCTAAAGTAAAGTTTATTTTAAAACTTGGTCATAGCTGTCGCATTTTGAAATTGAATAATTTGAGACTATCATAAAGTAGGTAAGATGATTCCACCACTTGTTGCCTACGGTTGTTTTGACTTTTCATTTCTGTAAATTTTTCGATATATCAAATATATGTTGGAATTGCTTTGTTGAATCGCACCGTAGCATTTCAATAAACTGAACTGTTTTGCGGCAAAAATCTTCGATCAAATATTCATCTATCGGACACCACACTGAAACTGGTACATTTATAAGAATGAGATATACAACCGACACAAAAACAGCTACTGACACAACATAAACGAACATGAGATAGGGAAAAGTATTTTGACAGAGGAAATGGTAACACGTCGTTTATTTTAAACATCCTTCAACTTTCAATGTACAGTACAATCTGTTTGAAGTGCTTAATTATAAATAAATATTTTTGCATGAATCTTTAATTCGACATCTACCTGACCTTGTACCAGAGCAATACCACCGATATTGCACACATTGTAATACTTTTCTCTGACAATGTCTCAAGTGATGTCAATTGGTTACATTACATGTAGAGCTATTTTCCTAAGTCACTTAATTAAATATGAGAACACAGTATTGATGACAATCAAATATGTTACAATATATAGTATCTGCTGCAGGTGTGGGACAGAATCTCGCTCAGGGCAAACCAGCGTGGATGAGTACCACAAGAGATGCTACAAGGGTTGCTAGTAATGCTGTAGATGGAGTGACTACTGCAACAAATTGGGATTACACAGCCCACACCGGCGACAAATCTGAAACAACAGCCTGGTGGAAGGTGGATCTGCAGATACAAGTACAGTCAGCCGTGGTTAACATCTACTTCAGAACTGACTGTAAGTATTTTACGCATATGTTTATATGATGAATTATATGACGTTCCATGAATCCCACTACACCCGAAATGGTTGCTAAACGCGATCTTCCAAGACAAAGTGTTAGACCTTGGTGGTAGACAGAATCAAGTAGCTTGAGATTGCTTTTGCAGGTTCCACCATATACGATGGAACCATAATTAAGTTTTAATCGGACCAGCGATCTATAATGGTGAAGGAGTGTAGTTTGATCCTCGTCCCCAACTTTAAGCAAATGCAGTGCCTTCAGGCACTTATTTTTTAAGGCATTTATTATGCGACAAAAAAGTTAAATGTGAGTCGAAAATAAGACCTAAGATCTTTGCCTCCTCTACAACTATAGCTGTATATACATACCATCGTCTGGTAATCTAACAGATGTTGTTCTGAATCAAACGACAGTGGCACAAGCAACTGCGCCACCATTCTTGGATCCATCTGTAAATAAGCATATGTTTGTAGTATAGTTATTTTTTAATATGTTAAATTCTTGTTTATCTCGTAATCCATTAGTTTCTGATTTTTTACACTTTGTCAGAGTTAGGTAAACTTGTGGCATTGAGTTATATTTTCTAGGGCAATGCCAGAAGCAGAAAAAATAGGTTGATTCGTATTCCTAGAGGCGGAACAAGAAATGGTTTCTTGTTAATATATAACCAGATCCTCATAAAGAGATTAAAAACACAATTATATCCAGTGTTAGACTCGTTAGAATATAGTTCTGTGGTATACTGTAAGGATAATTTTATACGGCGTTGGTTATGAGAAGGCTCATCGGCCTCGACGTAGAGACTGTCCACAGGAGAAGACCTGAAGGATCCAAGACAAAGTGTTAGACCTTGGTGGTAGACAGAATCAAGTAGCTTGAGATTGCTTTTGCAGGCTCCACCATATACGATGGAACCATAATAAAGTTTTGATCGGACCAGCGATCTATAATGGTGAAGGAGTGTAGTTTGATCCTCGTCCCCAACTTTAAGCAAATACAGTGCCTTCAGGCACTTATTTTTAAGGCATTTATTATGCGACAAAAAAGTTAAATGTGAGTCGAAAATAAGACCTAAGATCTTTGCCTCCTCTACAACTCTCATGTAAATCTTTCAAAAGTACCAGTGTTTCAAAGAAGTGTTGTTTGGATCTCTCTAGATTCCAAACACACTAAATGAACAATTGTCCTTCTGATTGTACGGAAACCACATTGTATATCAGTTAAAAGATTGTTTGTTTCAATGTACCAAACGAGTCGATTATGTATCATGTGTTCCGTGGTTTTGCAAACGCAGCTTGTGATTGATTGGTCGATAATCAAAGGATCGGTATGATCACTCGTCCAGGGTTTAGGTATTGGGACCACTATTGCATCTCGCCATGACGAAGAAAATTTCCGATGTCCATATGGTGTCAAAAAATACTTAAAAGGATTTTAAACAGGATTGTGGTAAGTGCTTCGAGTTGATAATGTATGTTATCAGCCCCTGTAGCAGACATCGTGAGCTTGTTCAAAAAAGCTATAAAGCCTATGAATAGACAATATGTCATTATAATCTTCCCCATTGTCAGAATTGAAATCAATAGATTTCTGTTCTTGCTGTTTTTGACACTTTTGAAATTGAGGTACATAATTAGATGAGGCAGAATGATTAGCTAATGTCTCACCAAGTTTATTTGCAATATCTGATTTAGTAGTCAATAATTCGTTCCCATCTTTAAGATGGTTAATGCTAGATTTGGTGCCCTTACGATTGATTTTCTTGATCATGTTTCATACCTTTGATATCGGCGGATGAATTGATTTTGAATAGATACATTCATCAAGAATGGCGTTTACTTTCTTTAAAAGTACGCCGTGCTTAAGCATTTAACATAATAAATTTGTTGACATTGTGGACCACAAATGGCGACGGAATAATGTTCAGGCCTTTTCCTTGCCTTCCTAGCTTGGTTGCAGTCATTGTTGGACTACGGTTTTCTAATGTGTGGAATTTCAGAGAGCTACAAATGATACACTTATCTGCTATGTTATTCAGTTCATCAGAAAAATACAAGATCTTATTGCATCATGAACGTCAATAAAAAATCCAGGTTTAAGTTTGTCAGCACATGAAGTTTCATATAAAGGCCAGTTAGCCTTTTTGAAATTCCATCTTGATGATGGAGGAACATCAGACGGGGTTACAAGTTTCAGAATTGTAGGAAAGTGCTCATCCATGACTTCCAAAGAGGTCATTATGGACAGACCATTCGAATTCATTTCGGAGGTTAGAGTCAGTTACTGACAAATCAAGATTAGAATAGGTACCAGTGCGTGGATGTAAATAAGTGTTAAGTGTTAAAAAAGCATGTCATTATTTGAAATAAAATCTCCAAGTAATTTTCCTTCATTGCTTGCATGCACACTACCCCATAGTGGGTTAAGGCCATGTAAATTACCCATAATGATGGCGGTCGTAAAGTGCTTCTGAAGATCAGTTAGTTGGAAGCGTCGACGTTGGAGGAATGTACATGGAGCAGAAAGTAAAAACAATGCGTATTAGTTAACCAAACCGTAAGATCCTGAAGATTTGTATATGGATTAAAACAGGGCTGTAAATCAATTCCCGACTTAATAGATGCTGTTCTCGTCACAATATGGGTTGAAATGTGCCGATGTGACGGTATAACCTCAACTCACTCACTAATGCAACAGAAGATCCAATTGGTAGCTCGTATTCCCTGGTGGAGAGAATGAATGGTAAGCAGTACTGACGTACATTAAAGGTGACAGTTTCTTTGAGATATGTCTCCCGGAGACATTGCTGACGGCTTATAATCTTGTATTAATAAGTGAATATGATTGAGATTGGTCCCAAGACCTCTGCAGTTCCACTCTGCATTTGCAATGATGAAACAGAAGAATCTTCCGTTTGTAATGAAGAACTGAACGATTGTCAACGAGGGTAAGGCAGGACTGGATGAGAGGACTCAATCCATGTGTATTTTTGGTCTGGCTAAATTACTGGAATGACAATATGAACCGAACTAGAAGCTGAGTGGAGTGAGTGAGTTAAAGCTTCTGTAGTCACAGCGGCAGCATATCTCAGCCATATTCGCCAACAACTGAAGGTAGATCAGCACTTTAGGGACCATGGGGACTTACAGTACTTTGGCTACCTGCATGGACCCTAGCTGGATTTATACCATCCCTTCAGCCACTGGCGATATTCTGATATTTAGCCATAATAAAACAAAAGATCTTCTACGATTAAAAGGTGTGTAGAACTAAACTGACTTGGGAAGTTTTGGGACTTACGTACCCTCTCAGGAGGACAATAATTTTACAGTACTTTAACCCCTTCGAGGATACAGCCACTAACTATCTTAGTTGCTAATTTATTCTACCGATTATAAAATATCATTTATCTATTCACAAAACATATAAATCAAAATTTATCAATCAATTCTATTTCTTTTAAAAACTCAATGATTAAATGATAGTTAATTTTACTAAAAAGATCCTTCACAGTTTTAACATTGAAATATTTATCCCTTGTGATGGAAAAATCAATGCAGTCAAGCAGGACATGCTTGACCGTGATTCTCTCATCACAAGGGATGCAAAACGGAGGATCCTCACCTTTTAGCAAATATTCGTGGGTGTATCTTGAGTGGCCAATGCGACATCGTCGCATGATGACCTCTTCAAATCTGGACTGACAACCCAAAGTAAGTATAACCGATAGTTGGCTTAATTTCATGTAACTTATTTATGCCTACTTGGGTATTCCACTTCTTCTGCATTAGATCACGAATGTATAATCGATTGGTTGCTTTGTAATCGGTGTATGGAATAAGAAGTGTCACAGATTAGTGGAGTGCTGCCTTAGCAGCAAGATCGGCCATTGTGTTCCCAGAAATGTCAACATGGCTGGGAAACCAACAAAAGACAATGTCGCATTGGCCAGTTGCAAGATCATTATACAATTCAATAATTGCATTTAAAAGTGGATGTTTACAAGAAAGATTTTTAAGGTTTCACTCCATACCAAGAGGCGGCATAAGACAAGACTTATTGTTATACATAATTTCATATAAGGGATTAAAGACACAGCTATGCAGGGTTTGACTCGTTAGAGTATAGTTTTGTTATATACTGTAGAGTTAATTTTATAATGACGTTGGTTAAGTGATGGCTCATCGGCCTCCCAACATGGGAGACTGTCAACAGGAGAAGTTCTAAAGTGACCCAAGACAAAAGCTCTAGGGCCTTGGGTGGTGAATAAAAATCTAATAGTTTAGGGTTAAAGGTTGCAGGCTCCACCCCATAATGACGGTTTACAATCAAACTTGGAGCATCGACTAGAGCACCTATATAGGTGTAGGAGGGTACTTTGATCTCTCCCAACTTTGAATTGAAACTACTTTCACAAATCCAGCGCCTTCAGGCATTTATTTCCGATTTAATATGGCAGAAAAAGTTAAATGAGAGTCAGAAAAAGTAGACCTAAATAACTCCTGGCCTCTTTGACAACTTTGATTAGAGTGCCATTTAAATTCTAGTTCTTAAGTCCTTATGTGGCTTATATTTTCTACTAAGAAGTGTATGCACTTAGTTATTGGACTTTAGAAAAATTTAGTGTGCCGTTTTCAAGACACCCATTTATTTATGTTTTTAAACACAATAGCAGTTGCCGTTCAATAGTTCATATTTTTACCACCACAAGAAATATTAAAATCATCCACGAAAAGTGATCCATCAATTGAATCATTTAAAACTTTGGATAGACTGTTGATCTTGATACTAAAAGGTGTGACAGACAAAATACTCCAGTGTGGGACACCCTGGTCCTGATTGTAATGGTCAGACAGGGTGGAACACACTCGGACTTGAAATTGCCTGTCCTATAAAAACTGTGATATAAAAAGAGATAAACGACCCCTTAAACCCAAATCATGTAAATCCTTTAAAATGCCATTCTTCCAGGTGGTATCATATGCTTTCTTGA